TTTCCTCAACAAAACGCCAACCTTCAATAGCCGAAGCACAAATCCCCCTAGGAACCCCGGGCCCGCCCCCACCATCCCAGTGGCGTAGCACGGTCATATTTATTGTTTGAATGTTCGAACATCCGTGGTGACATGTAGACACATTTTTTTTCACCGGACATTTGGCCAGTCCGTAAAATCAAAAAGTGTGTGTGGGTGTGTGGGTGTGTGTGTGTGTGTGTTGGGGGGGGGGGGTGTTAGGTGGTTAGGCTGGTACCATCTGTCGACGGGGGTGTTTTTTACAACCGACAATTATGAACACTATAACCGACAATCAGGGGCGGATCCAGGAATGTTTGCAAGGGGGGGTTTCATCAGCAAAACATTCTGAAAATGTACACAGGTTTTTTTTCTCTGGACACTTGGCCTCGGTAAAAACAAAAACTGGGGGGGGGGGGGGGTACCACATTCCAATAGGGGGCGCTGTTCAATTTCGATGATTATTAACACAAGATTACAGAATTGTAAACCGTATTTTGAACGGGCAAACATTATACCAGTTTAACTTTTTTGGGTGTCACAGGGGTGGGGGGGGGAGGGGGTTCGACTTTTTTTTAGAAATTTGTGTGGAAATTTTAGGGGGGACAGAGCTGGGGGGGGGGGCACCCCCCCCCCGGATCCGCGCCTCACAATAAAATGGTGCTTTTCAGGGCGATACAGGCGGGCTATTGAAAAAAAGAGGCATCCGAAACGTTATATCACGCTGGATTTGTTTTAAAAAGGGCACTTAACAAAAAGGACACTCTTTACAAACTATTGGGTGGTCTTTACAAACTATTGGGTGGTAAGCGGTGGTGAAATACGGGCATTTGAATGGAAAAGGGCACTCTTTTCAAAATATTGGGTGCGGGAGTAAATCATCCCCCCCACCGCTGCCTACGCCTATGCATCCCTTTACCTCCTGACCACCCCGGGCAGCCTACGGTGGATCCCTTATACCCCAAATTTACGAGATCGGGGGGGGGGGGCGTTTATTTAATGCCAGAGTGCTGTTGTTCTCCTTTTCCTTAATATTTCCATCAAGAGGAAGAGGATGAGTGAGTCGATTTTACAACAGTCATGTCGTCTATTGTAGCCCTTGTAAAATAATCGATATTTTTCCAATTGAGGTGGCCGCTTTAATTTGCTTAAACGATGTATCAAATCCGCCCTGCTGGTGGACAGGGTGGACAGCGGCGTAGCCACTGGGGTGGAGTGGGGGAGGGATGGGGTGTAGGGGGCTTGGGCTTACACGCACCAGTAGAACATAATGTCCGGCACCCCCCCCCGGAAATAATTAATTCCCATAAATGACCATGCGGGTATAAGGTATAACAGAAATTGCCCCCTCCACCTTCCCTCCCACTGGAATAACATCTTGTACCTCCACCAATCCCCATGGTGGGAAGTCTGGCTACACTGCTGCTGGTAGAATGGTTCCAGTTTCCTATTATATTATCAAGTCTAAATACTGAGGTAGGGAACCATGCTGTGTACACCGCAAGAAACGAATTAATGTCAGGTCACAAATTAAGTAAATAAAAGCTAGAAATGTCTGCAGTACCGGGTTATGAAGCCTATTTTACAAACAAAAGACTAAACGTGGGCCGATTGTTTTGGTCGGCGTCTCATTCAAAAGTGAATAACCTTTGTAGCCCTAGAAACAAGAAAACTTGAGATAAAAAAGATGAGGCTGTAATAAACTAATATATGTTCTAGGTTTAAACATGTTTTGGGCTGATTTCCTAGGTCGATTTTATTTAAGTGTTTTTACCTCTTTTTTGCTTAAGTGAGAAGAGCCGTTTTGTTGTCTAAAGTCATGACAACACGCCTATTTTTCTCCTTTGTAGTCGTTGCAATGGGCTTTTATTATTTTGATGACAGGGCACGTTTCAACAAAATATCCTGATTATCAATATAAATATTGAGCTTTGTATTCGTTACCAATAAAGCAAAAGAAAGGGAAAAGGCATTAATAATTAGCTGTATAACAACTGACCATTTCAACCTTTCAAAAAATGATGGGATGGCCTAAATGTTTGCCAATCCATCACGATTGTTTTCTCTGCACGTTACCATCTTTTAATTCAATGAGGATCTAAGTTGAAAACTTACATCAAAATTGCTAAGGCAAAGTAAAAAAAATATGTTACTCGTCCCCGCCTACTTCCTATTTGGAGGCCGCCTGGGTTGTTTTATTATTATTTTAATATTTTCTTTTGAAAAAATGCAGTAAAAACACCGAACAAGTCCACGGTTAAAGCAAATGCGTCTAAAACTGTTCATTGTAGACCAATACAACTCTAAATGACACTGTAAATGTGTTCAGTTCTCTTGTCCAACTTGTTTTCCATTTTAAAAGTGTCTTTGAACAGTGCAAACACCGACAGTTGCAGGAAATTTCAAAATGGCGGCCATCTTGAGAAAAAAAAGGAAAAAGCCCGTCATCCCTTTTTTTTTCTTCAAAAACCAGGAAGAGAAACTTGTTTTTTTTTTATTCGGACTAATATATTCGAAAACGATGTAGATCCATTGATCAATATACCAAAGCTACGGTTGTACGGGGTGTGTAAAAAAAAAGCGGTACCCAAACCCCAAAAATTATAATTCATATCTTTAAACAAATGTGTGGCACCAAACATAATAATGACCGGAAAGCCAATTTCATAAGCTATGTTTTGATGAAAAACATAATAAAATTGCTCAATCTGTTCAAACAATATCACAATTTAAACACAATGGAATTGACCCTAAAACCTCCTAGTCCAAAAATGCGATTTCAAGAATCGTCGTCAAAATTGTCTTCAAACATGCACCAGCGATAAAACCTCAGTTTAAAAAATGAAAACATTCAACAAGGTCCTTTTGAAGGCCCGTTTTTTTTTAACAAAGTGGAATTTGTAAATCAAATTGTTTGCCTAACCAGGGCTGTTAATAAAGATATTGTGTACTGTTGTTGACAGTTTTGAAACAAGTATTCTGTGTCATTTTTGTTGTTGTTCCAAACAGTAATAATGCACAATAAACTGTTTTTTGACGAAAAGGTTTGAGGGTCATTGCGTTTAAGTGGTGATATTCTTTGAATGGATTGAGCAATTTCATTAGTATTTTTTTTCTCCAAAAGTAGGTTGTGCAATTGTCTTTCCAGTGATTATTACTTTTGATGTTACACATTTATTTAGATGTGAAATATATTTTTGGGGGTTTGGGTTCAGCTTCTTTTTTTTCTTTTTTTGTACTCACCCTGTATTAAAACAAACCATATCAAGACACACAATTCTACAATCTTGGCTTTTTTAGGTTCAGCATTGTTCATCTCAATATTTTTACTACTTTCAGAAGGCACGTTGATTTTTTTTGATTTTTATTTTACACTGATAAGGTCAAATTATCAAAGAGGTCTTTATAAAACTTACCGCAATAATTGCTTAAAATGCAGTACAAATTTGAGCTATTGATAAGGCTGCTATTTTGTGAACAGTGAAACATTTAAAACATAAAGGAGTTTTTGGTTCTGATACTTCTTCGCATCGTATTTTTTTTAACTTTCCAAACATCTGTAAGCAATAAAAAAAGAAATACAATACATTCATAACTTTTCTTCAATAATTGAAGAAAAAAGCAGCCGGAAATAGCCAAATATCTCTGCAAGGTATTCATCAAATCATGATCCACTCCAAAAACTATCAATGTAACAACAATATACAGTTCAAACTCAAAGCTTGTTTGAGTTTGAACTATTCTCTAATTAAAAAGAAATTATGCATAAAGTTTTTCACAAACAACACATTATATGTCATACTTCGACACAGGCCGTGGTTCATTACATGAAAAGGTACGTCACGTCACCCATGTTTTATATAATACATTCGATTCTATGCTGCTATTCAAATGCATACTTTTTCCCAGCAAGAAACAAAATCTTTCCGAGGATTAACGATATCGGGGCGAGTCTCCACTCATCCAAGAATAACCCAACCGGTGCAGAAACAATGTACGTTTTTCAATCGTCATTACTTATCTTTTATGTTCACATAACAAAGTGAACAAATAACATATTTTCTGAAATATTGTATTGGTTCACATTGTTATTAAAACTTTACTAACAATATTTCATTCCACAGTGGAAACAAATATAATTATTGTCAAATATTTTAAAGCAAACTTTCGTGATATATCTCTCAATACTCGTCTACGAAAAGCTAAGTTACAAGCACTCGGAATTGTAAATATATTGCCTATACGGAACAGTGCAGTGCAATGTAAACACATACATTATTGTTTAATAGATACATCTGATAACTCCCGATTAGATTATTTGAACAGTATATTTCTTATATTTTGGTTCATACGATTACCAGCTTAAAACAATTACACCATATTTAGAATGCTGCAGCTGCCCGACTGATTATCTCGAGAAGTATAGATCGCAAAGCAGACATGCATCCATACCCTCAGGAACTACATTGGCTCTCGGTTATTCGGTGCGAATATATTCTTTGTTAGTTTTCAGACTTATCCGTCGAGTTGAGTTCAGTCCATGAGTTTAAAATTCGCAGTAAAAGCTGTTGTGGGGTTAAGTTCAACAATCCTAAAGTGTGTCCAAAGCCTAACAACGCACACGGGATCGTGATATTACCATGTGGAGCAGACTTTCAGCCGAAATGAGACAGATTTATACATTTTGAAATTTTCGATCTCAGCTAAAAATATTTCCTTCTAAAAATATTATTTTTATCGTAATTTATTTTTTTTATTTAAGTAGTTTTGATGTCGTGCAAACCGTTTTGATATTTTGATGCTATACATGTATTAAAAATTAATAATTTTTATCATGCGCATTTAATTCATATGTAATCATTGGTTATTGTATCGGCAAAATGGAAAGCGAAAATGTTTTTTTTTTCGGGGGGGGGGGCACTGCTCTTGTACATTTATGCAAGGTGAAGATTAGTTAATTAATTGATTGATTCCGGGTAAAGGAGGAAGCCACTGAATGAGGTGTAGTGAGAGGTGGGATGGCTATACGCCCTACCGTACATGGTAAGATATACCGTGTCTCCTTGCTGAAGAGCCAGCACCGCGCTACCAGAAAACTGACCTCGTTGATTTGATATACCTTGGGTAGTGATCACATGGTAGTTGTTTTTAACAAGATGGATGTAAAGACCACCGCTGTTGCTATACTTAAGAACAGAAAACGTAAATACGTAGGTGCCCGGCACACTACATGTGAACGTGCCGGTCTCGAGATCGAAGCTGGTACCCGGCAGAAGCGTCTCGGTCTGCTGAAAGGGCAAACGGGTGTCGTGACTCGAAGATTCATCTGAGCCGCTCGTCCTGACCACGGTGAATGCCACCCGCTGGTTGGAGTCGTCTGGTGTCTCCTCTGGCTCACCCTTCTGACCTTTGACACCAGTTTTCCCAGTTCCTCCAGCAAAACCAGGTAGCCCTCTCGGACCTATCTTGCCGGGCAGACCAATCCCATTATCACCTTTAGACCCAGTGTTCCCAGGTGCTCCTCGCTCACCCATAGGTCCAATAGGGCCAATTTCACCTTGCTGACCTGCATCGCCATTTGACCCAGGCTGACCGTACGGCCCCATAGGTCCTACTGGACCAGGCAGACCTGGTATGCCGGGTATTGCAGCAGGTCCCTGGCAGCACTGCTGACACACCTGAGACGCAGGACCATCACCGTCCGAGGGAACCGGCCCAATAACGGAAGCTCGGAGCTTGACAGAATTCCCCAGAAGTAGGGCGATTGACAGAATGGTGGCCACGCAGATATTCATCTGTAAAAAAAAACAATTCAGGGCCTAAAATTACAAACAAAATCACTACATGAACTGAAAAATTTGTATACGAGACATAATTTGGAGGAATCATTATTCAGAGAATGTGTCGGCGTGATATGGCAGTGGCCTATCCGGGGGGCAAGGGGATAACATGTAAATGAAAAGATGGGTTCTTTTTAAATCTGTTGCCATGACAACTATGGGCAATCCACATTTGTTATTGTTACTGTTTAGCCGGCCGATAAAAGTTTGGAAAGGAGACGGAATAACATACTTTTTTATGGGGACGGCGTACTCTTTCCACGGTTATAATAGAATCAATTAAACGTCACCACACTGACCTCGATGGTTCGCTCTTGAAGACTTAAAGATCAGGTCCAAGAGAGGATCACAAGGAGTTCAGTGTAGGCTGAAAAAAGAAAAACCGGAAACGTTTATACTTGAGTAAGGAATGAAATAATGTTATTATTGGTTTGAATTATATTGTTAGGTTTTTTTTTTTTTCATTGCTGCCTGAAATCACCGTTCAATTTATTCAAACACATTAATTAAAATTATTAAAATTTCTTCCTCCCCCAAATGTATGCATTTTTAAGGCACTATCAAGCGACTGAAGAGTTTTTGAAAGCATAATGTGAGTTTTTTAACCAGCAAATTCTGCATTCCAATAGTTTTTTCCCCGTCCAATTGCACAACTTGCCCGTTCAATATTCGAACACTTTCTTCAATATTCGAAAAAATGTAATGGTATCTTCACTTAACGCGTAAAAAAGTAGGCAATTTAGGTACTTGCATTGGATTTATTGTGCTTTTGATTTCAGTCCTGCTAGGGAATTCACATTCATGCATACGTTTACCAAAGTAACACATGTTTAATAAAATCCGGCAGTTTAGCAAGATCAGTGGCGGATCCAGGGGTGCAGAGGGGCGCTTCCCCGGCAGTGACCGAACAATTCTCAAAAAAGGTAAATTTCGATTGAGAGAGCCCTTCCAACCTCACCCTTTTCCCGGCTCAAACTTCGCCCCCCGGCAATAAACTCTCTGGATCCGCTCTTGAAGATATTATGTGGTAGTGTTAAAACAAGGTATAAAATGACATGAGGTTTTGAAAAGTCGAATAAAGGAATGTACTATATTTTTTTAAATGTCAGGGAAGGAATCATGAAACGTGCAAATCAGAAGTTTACAATTTATTGTTAAGTGTCCATCAAGTGACAGATAGAATGAACTTTTTAGCACTCGCCCAAAAATCGGGCTCTCACGAAAAAAGACAGATTTGTATTGACCAGTTAATTTTTGTTATCACTATGTGAAAATACAAAGATATCCCTTAATGGAAAATAAAATACTGAAAATCAATCAAATTTGTTTTCGCCAATACGATTGACGGTTAATGCAGTCTTCAATCTTTGCTATCTGTATCTCTATTTTATTTCTTTTAGTTCTCTGGGTTTTTTGGGTTTTTTTTTAGTTTGTAAATTGTATGTAAGCATACACAAAAATAAACAGATTTTTTTGTGACGATATGACGAGTAATCAGCCTTTCTAAAAAGAAAGATGCAAAATCTAAATTGACAGTCTTTATATACACAATTGCATGTCTGAGAACGACTTTGAGTGATTTAGGAATTAGCAAAACTGTTTTTATTTAAAAGCACACAAATAAATTTGAATTGAACGAATTCAGCCGGAAATCCTACATTAATGATGGTCTTTAATAATATGTATGCTTCAAACAGGATTTCTAAGCAACGATTGGCCATTTGTCACGGTTTGACGGTGGTTGTAGGGGAGGGGGATCCCGCACTTCTTTAAATATCACTTTCGCACCTTTGTTTTGAATCGAATGACGTTTTCTGTTTATAATGGTGACCAAAACGTTATCGGTGCATAAACAAACACAGTCTTCCACCAAAATACTATGCTATTACGCTAAATTGAGAGAAAATGTACAACTAGAACTACTCACTTGATGTAATGTTCTTGAATTTTATCATGAAAGATTTCATCAACACGTGAGCAGATTGCTGGTTTTTAAAAATGAGTTATTGAGTTATTATCTGCATTGATATGGGAAACCGATCTCATACCAGTGAAGTATAGTGGCGGAAATATTACAGGTGGACCACCGTAGTTAAGTTACAGTCGTTACAAAAAGAATTGTTTCCCCGGTGGTGGGAAATCAGCGCACCGGTTTGGCTATTAGCATCAGCCACCATTTGTTTGTCAACCATGACTGTATCTCGGAAAGTCTTAAGGGTTTTAGAAAATCTGTACCAATTTCACAACCAAAAACAATGAAAATATTGCTTTTCAAAAAATACATTTAGAAGGATCTCAGTTGCATGCTGAGAGGAACCTTACATGTAAACATGACTGAATTCACTGAAAGTTGGTGCTTCAAACGTTGAAGTCGGACAGCAAAGCAGACGGCCCGAATAATTTGTACGAACATCAACTCTTTGCATGATTCCTATGAATGAATCCAGCTACATGAAGCAATATGAACTTGAATAAAGTGTGTGATCATGATCCGGTCAGTTCGTATGTACGCCCTCTAGTCTATTCTAACCAGTGACAGTTTTATCGGCTTATACTTAAAAGTAACGCTTAGGCCTATGGGCTCCGCGCGCCAACGAAAGAGGGCGCCCTTTTACCTAGCAACGACGTCCAGTGGGCGGGACATTTAGCTGGTTGAGGTGCACCGTCCCTTGTGTGTGACGCACGTACACCAAGGGATTTGTACTGTGTACACGCAGTGGTACGGCAGCGCGTCGTGGCAAAATTGCAGTCAGGCAAGATGGCGTCGGTCGGTCACCCCCAACTGTTCCTTCCTTGCCAGTACTTGTGAACGGATCGGATATATAATGATCAAACAGGAATGGCGCACTGTCAACTAGCGAAATGACACAGTTTAAAAACAAAGTGCAAAAGGTATTGAGATTATCCCAATTTTCAATAACACAACATACGACAGGATGTTTGAGATGTCCCGATTTCCTTTATACGTTCTTCCGTGGCCAACTTCCGCATAACCTTTTATCCTGAATTGGTTAGAGTGATTGCCGGGAAATGTGAGCGCATCGCATCGGGATTTTATGTTTGATACAGTAAACAGGGAAAACTAGCAGGAAAATAAAGGGGGTGAATGGTCAAACTGATATTATGGGTTAAGTGTCGAGCTTTCGCAAGATTTTTTTCTCAACAAAAAAGAGTTTAATTTATCATCGGAAATATTGTGTAAGTGCGTGATTTTCCATAACATTAGGGAACTTGATGTAATACACTTTTGACAAACCTGCAGCTAGATTTGACTAGAAAACTGGCGAACCTGACTGGCGAACAATAAAACAAAACTATAAAACGTCCATGAATTTAGAGTGTGCTACCTGTAGCGACAACAATTCAAGTAAGTTTTCAAAAAACGAGAGAAATCAGTCAGTATATTTTTTACAATTATTATTGTGCGTTGAGAGTGCACCATGGAAGTAGAAGCGGAAATATTGTCTGACAGGAATTCCTTAATCTAAACAAATAAAAAAAAAACTGATTAGGCCCAAAATAATCTGGTATGGAGCTTGCCCCGAAAGTGGTGCGGGGCGCGGTTTGGGTGTTTTTTTGTTGTGTTTTTTTGCCCCAACTGATTTTATCTTCAAAATGTCCGCTGATGCGGCTGATCATGTTCCCGATGAAGATTCGATCCCTTAAAACTCTCTTAAAATACAGCCTTCAGAGCTGAGCTTGAGGTGACCTCAGGAAGGCCACAAGGCTTGATAATTTTGCACCCACTTATTATCTCGACCGACACAAACATGTTTTTTTTTTTGGGGGGGGGGGATTTGGATAGTCAAGACAAAAATAAGAGAAAACGGTGACGTCACACCATACAGCGACATCAACATCGTGCATGAGCTGCCAGGCTGGTCATAAGTCTGCTCCGTTACATATTGTGGTTCTAAACATTTCAAGGTTATAGATACACGACCATCGCACTCTTAGTCTGGCTTCCAGAAACACAAATGCAAAATTGCACAATCTGCAAATGGAGCTGCTGCCTGAAAAAAATCAATGCGAAATATATGGGACACAGAGAGGCCACATAAAGCTCACACTCGATCGTTACCCCATCTAAAAACATGTTTAAATTGTGCAGCAGTAGGACTTCAATCCAATCTTGGATGGAAAAAAAAATAACTTGTTGCCGACGTGCATGACTACGCGTACGGTGACGCGGGCGCAGACCAGAAACCGGAGACTTGTTTTGGCCTCATTTGCTCTTAGCAATAGCATTTATAACCTGAAAATTTGGCCTCACAAAATGTTGGTCCAAATCCGCATCAGCTGTTGAGACTAAGAGTTAATTCAGCTATATTTTATACAACATAATAAGCTGGTTATTATTCAACCACCAAGTAATCGAGTTACTGTATGGGAATGCAATCATCAGTGTCTGAAATATTGACTGCACGCTGTTCTGGCTATAAGCAATTTTGTGTCAATATCATACATGCATATCGCAAAAGATCAATCCTAAAGTTTAGCTGAATATCAAGCGCAAAAGATTGTTTTAAACACTCACCGTGCAATTCTTGTTCGATCTTGCAAACAGTTCTCTCGGGTTGTCGTCTGAACGTGGACATGAGCTGCGGTCGTTGTGAGGAGTGAGCCGGCAGCTTGTGACTTAAATATTGACGTCGATTTCCCGAGCAGTGACTGAGGAACTTGCAAGCTGGTTTGTGATTGGCCCCTGCGCGCTGTCAATCACACATCACTGATTCGCTTCACATTGATGAGAGGGAAATGATGTTAATGTTACATTGCCACACGTTAAACCCGAAGCTTGTATCACCCACACTCAAATAGACGCATCTAATTGGTCGAATGGTTGTATGAATGTCGGTGACACAATCAAACGCGTGGATTGTGATTGGCACCTGTCAATCACAGACCACTCACTTGTGGTCACCGACTTGTTGGGTGACTAACTATGATTGGTGGATAGAGCAATGACGTGCACCAGCCATACGTGATTCAATCAGTGTCTGTTGTGCGCTTCGTGTTATTTAATGGAGCCACGCATTTGGTGGCTAGTATTTTGTAGTCAGGTTATGCAGTCTACATTTTTGATAGAAAAACGAAGGCGTAATAATTTAGCTTGAAAAGAAAAAGAAATAAGAACTTCAAAATATTGTGTTCATAATATCCGGTCCCTGTACAGTTGCCGCTTTCTTACGGTGAAGTATACTGATTTTGCAGAACCCAGCCGTTCCCAAAGGCTACTTAATTATAACCATTCATCTATCCCCATCGACTAGTCAAACGTGCGCTCAGCCCGGCCAATTTATCTGCATGCAATCGACCTTGCACCTGCAGAACCCCCTCCCCCCCCCCCTAATTGAGGCCCTTCCACCTCCGCTTACTGAGCCCAACATCTACCAAAAACCAAACACATAATTAGGCCAACCCCAATCTTGACCCTCGCCTAATCAAACCTAATCCCAAACTTGCCCCAACTGTTTGGATCCAACCATGTGCAACAAACTTCTTTCCTTAGGAAACACTAGCATTCAATAGCCTGATCTCCAAGCCAAGCACGAATTCCCATATTGAACCCCTGCCCCACCATCCCTTCCCCCTCCTAACCACCCTGGGCAGCCAACGACGAATTCCTAACCAATATGCTGAAGTGGAGAATGGGGTGCTTATTTAATGCTAGAGTGCTGTTGTTCCCCTTTCTATTAATAGTTTCATCGAAAGGAAGAGGAAGAGTAAATATATGTTTACAGCATTAACAGCCATGTCGTGACATTTGTTTTTCGTTGGGTAACCAATCGAGTGCCATTGTTTTTAGTTATTCACTCATCAGTTTTCTGCTGATGACAACTAACAGTTTTCCCCGCTCAAATAGGCCGGCCTATAAGAATACCTACTGAGAGAATATGAAAAGACGGTGGCCCATATTCTACCGAAAGTCCAAAATAATCACTAAGTGTGCCCCTGAGTGTGCCTGATTTATAGTGGAACAATACTGCCCACAATTCCAAACAGTACCTATTCTTATACCTATCTAGGTTGTGTCGTTTTCAAACCTAGTATTTTTTTGAGAGATATTACGCCGTAAGGTATTACTCACTGGCATGGTTCATTAAAGGGACCTTAATTTAGACTCCTCATTTTTTGGAGGAAGCATTCAAAGAGGGGGAGGCCCCCGAATCCCAGGCAGGCTGAGTGGTGAGGCACGCCCTCTCTAGCTTTCCGGGTTACGCCACTGAGTTTGAAATGACGTATCGTATCTCAACATCCGGCTTGGACCATGAGTTTGACCACGATGGGAACGAACAGCACTAATATTTTAACTGAAATAAATCTGCCATGGGATATTTGAAAATCACGGGGGGGGGGGTTGAGACAGCTATAACCAGGGGCAAGAGGACAGGACGTCCGTACTGCGCCGTCTGGCCTGAGGAGCTGGCCGCGTGTTTAATGCGCAGACCATGTTTACTAAATCGAATACAAAGACCTCACCGCTGCACTTGGCAACGACCCTGCCCCTTACATACCTACCCGTTAGCTGACGTGGGTTCAACTTTCACCCTATCCAGCCTCTCTCACCAAGGCTTTGCCAGCCCCCCATTTCACCCATCTTCCATCAATCTTCAGGACGCAACCACCTAATTAATGTCTTACAACCTTAAGACCCAACCCGACCTTAAGACCCAACCCGACCTGAACACCCTGCCACTCAACGGCGGACAGAACCAAAGTCTTGATGTGCTTCCAGTTATGTTAGGCTGTGAGTGGAGGGGAAGGGGGCAGGTAAAAGGGCCTGACACCCGGCAAGCTGGCCGTTACAGAATCGAATGTCGTGGGGATGCGTTTCATTGACCACGGTTCGAATCCTGGCCATGGATCACATGTGAGTAGTGTTGTGCGTTGGTTCTCTCCTGTGCCACGAGGGTTTTTCTCCAGGCATTCCGGTTTTCCGCCCTCCGGAAAAAAAATCAAACACTTTCGATCTCAGGCTGTGCTCCGTGGTCATATATGGGTCGTTGTGGACGGCATCCATAGGCGCATTTACGTGTCAGCTGCCCGACCACGTTGTAGCTCTGTCCTTCGCATTTCGGCATCCCAGCTACGAGTAAGGATGATTAGCCTCCCAAACTATTAATTATTATATTTCAAGAATCCGTGGGGGAAATGAAACGCGTGGACTACACCATCGTCTTAATAATATTTACTGCGCTTGTTCAATTATTGAAAGATAAATAACTGTTGGTATCAGTTGTGTTGCCCCCTCCCATTTTCAAAGCCTAACCTCCTCGAAATTTTAGTTTTTCTTCGTTTTTCAAGTATTTTGGAACACAAAACTTCAAACATGTCGGTGTAACAAAATTTGATCTGTTATACAAACCTCTGGTAAGCAACCCGAGGCAGCAAACGGCGGATCCCGAACCCATATGCTGAGCACGGCTGTTCCAGCGCAAAATAATGGCGCCCTCTGTGGTTCTAATCGCGCCAATCGAAAATCTCCGTAAAATGACGTCACCGACACGCTTCGTGGGTCGGGCCAAGCAAGTTTCATATCATGAATATTTATATCAGGGAATATTTGGAACGTCATTGGTAGATTAATCGGTCAAAGTTCAGAATGTTTCTTATTTTCAAAAGTTTGTTTTTTCCCCTAATTTCCATATATGAATATCAGCTCATGAATATTAAATTACTGAAAACGGCGTCCGTCAAAACTGGTGTTCGACCGAGCTGATTTCGCGGTGTGCGGTCATGTGACAAATTTGTCACATTGAAAGGTGTTTTTCTCCAAACAAGAGGTTTTCCCCGATGTAAGGCCCACATCAACTTTGTTTTGGAGATACGTGCTGCATATGTGTCCGGTTTGAAGGTAAGGCCAGCGGTAGATTTGTTGATATTTAGGTGTAAAAAGTGACATATATTGTGCGCGGAATGCCAAACGGTCAAGTTGGTTGTAAAGCGTACATGGTTCGCGCGTGTGTATCACGCATAGCCCAAAGCGCATGATGCTTTAGAGACAACTCGACCGTTTGCGTGTTCATGTATTTGTACGGGCACGCGTGCGGATCTAACCCGTACCTAGGTTCGTGCATGTGTGGACGGTGATCCTCCATTGGCGTGATGCACATGTACATGACATGTCGTGTATTGTGCTACAACTTTGTTATACATGGGAAAGATTTCATTACATAAATTACATCAACATGATCAACCAGGCCTGATTTGGAAGGTAAAAAAAAAAACTATTTGCATGATTCAGTATAAAATTAATACAAACAATACGAACACGTTATGACAACAGAGAGAAAAAAAATGTCCCCCCCCCAAAAAAAATGAACATTTCATAACAATTTGATTCTGACAGTAATGAACAAGATGAAAGTAGTTATGTCGGACTACTCTTTTGTATTGTACATATGCCACCTTTCGTGTTCGCAGAACTTATTCTGGCATGTCTGACGTTGAATTTATTTCAGGCTTTGCATATTAATTCAGTAACGCTTAGCCAAATGCCAAATCCATTTTTACGTAAACACATTAGTGCCTCAGCTTCATGGGGACATGAAACAATTAAATTGGCAATTCTAAATTGAGGTGTTTTGTTTCTGTGTGATCCTGTTCCATACAAATGGATCTCTTTTTTCTAGATCACCAACCTTCCCAAATTTTTCAGCCACTTTAGACTTTGCACAGGCCTTATTGTGCAGTGTGCAACCCCCCCCCCCCCCGATAAAGTTATATAAATATTGTTAAATGGTGTCATGATACATCATGTACATGTGACATGCACCACTGCTTTAGTGTTGGCGTTGCATGTAGAGCTTTGAATGTATGGAAACATTTCTCCCATGCCCCACCCCCAGCCCACCCCCTAATAAAAGCAATTGTACATGTGATCCTGTTTTCTGAAAAAAAGCATTTTGTTATGATTTTCCAGGAAGTTTGCAGTATCATTCTCCTGACAAGAGGGTTTCTCGTATTTTCTGGAGCTCTGGTGAGATGGTGGTGTGATGAGCCGTTGACTCGTTGTGATGAGCCGTACAGTGGAAGTGAATCTTTCATCCCACATTTGTGCATGGAGGATCAGGATAACACAGACATGAGCATGTGTTGGGTGTATTTTTGGTAACTGAATGTGTGCCAAACTGTGTGATGCCATGTGCACTGCTAGATTTGAACAAACCATGCACCGCCTTGATCCGACACATTAAGAACTTCTGTTGTCTGCTTGCCAAGGAATCACTCTGGAATTTAAGCTCAGGATTCACACGTCACACATGATCACTCGCGATGGACTGGTTTTCGCTCCCATAATATCAGACATGTTTACATTTTAATGCCCATTTATGGTCATTGATTGGATCACCTCTGCACATGTGCAGTACAATTTTGTTTTTTAGAAAATGATATTTACATTCTGATTTCTCGTGCATGGCTATCGCAAAACTGACTCGTAGATGAACTATAAACAGTAGGCAAAATGGTCATGTCTCTACTGAAACTGCATTAGTGACAACATTGTTGCCATTTTGAATGGGCTGGATCCATGCTTACATTATCATTGTGATTTTGTACATAAGGGCAGAATTGTGACCTAGGCTAATTTGTTTACACCGGTAGGAATTCTTCCAGAACTACTGCGAACGACACTCCTAAGTGCCAA